CGCCGAGCGCCGCGTCTGGGCCGGTTTATTCAGAGCTGAGCTGAGCCTCGGGGGCCCGTCCTGCGGCGCCGGCGCCTTCGTGTCCCCGGTACAGCGGTCGCCCCATTATCTGGCCCCAGCTGGAGGGAGCGAGACGAGCAGCCGGCTCGGGAGCCGGACCGCTGCGGGCAGTCGCCGGGCGGAGGAGGAGTTGGGCGCGAGGGCAGCCACCCGTCCGCCCCCCGCGCGCTTCCTCCCGGAGCGCGGACCGCCGCCCGGCCGCCAGGGCCCCTCGCCCGCTTTTGTCTCCCCGAATCTCCTGCGGGTCGTGGGGGTCGGGCGGGCGGCGGTGCCCGTGAGTGTGCAGTTTTTGGTGGCGCGCTTCCCCCACCGCACCCCATCCTCCTCCGGGTCCGGGGCTGATCCAGCCAGGGGGGCTGTTGCCTTTTTCTTTTTTTCCTCCCTCAAAAATAAAGGTTGGTGGCGGAGCTCAGGTTTCAGCCCCCCGGAGGCTGTCTTGCGAGGCACTTCTGCGAGTTAATGCCTAATCTGAACCTTGGGTACGAGGCGGAAAGTTTTGACAGGCCGGAGGGGCTGGGGACTGCATTTCCCTAACTGCTGTAGGGGCCCGAGCCGGCGGCCGGGCATGTGTGGCCTCGAAGGCCCCCGCTTTGACCCTTAGTGTCCAGTTCTGGGATTCTGTTTTGTGTGGCCCTTGTGCCTTTCCCAGAGGTGGAGCTTTCCCAGAAATACACAGGCAGCACTTTTCTCCTATTTTATTTAGCTCAGGCCCTTGTGACTAGCGTTTCATTACTTTTCATCTGAAGGAGAGGAAACTTCAGCCCTTATGACTGAGAGCCCAGCAGTTTTGTTTACGACACCTACCCAGTGAAGGGAAACTAATGAAGAAGCTGTAAACCTCTGTGTGTGTCTCTTCTTTCTTTTCTTGGTGGCTTTAGTGTTCTGCTGGGGAGTGCAGCAGGGGAAAAAGATGAAATGGGAAAATGGACTTGGTAGGGCCAACTCGTTCTCTTCTGCATCAGCTCCAGTAAGCTGTCCAGTTTTTCCTGCCTGCAGCAAGTTTTCTGTCAGCCCCCTGTGGTCTTTCTTTTAAGAAATGTGGTTCATTGCAGAGCACAAAGAGGTTAGATTGTGCTGCTGAACTTCATTGAAAAACTGCTGCCCGGTGAATGGTTCCATTAAATTTCCTTTGCAGGCTTTTGGGCAACATCGCACTCCTCAGAGGGAAGATACACTGGGTCTGTCTCAGGCCTTGGCAGCTTTAAACCAACAGAATTAAAACAAAAATGGGGGAAGAAATCTCAGTACCTCACTGGATCATGTTGCGGGTGGCCCCCAGCCCAAAGGAAGTTGCACTCTCTGGCAAGTGAAACAGAAAAAAAGGGGGAAGTAGGGCTTATTTCAGGAGAGGTCCCTGGTGTTCAGTCATTTCAGCTGGCTCAATTTGGCTTTCCTGGGAAGGATTTTGTTCAGGTGTATGGGAATTTGATTCTTCTAGACACAGATCTCTTTCTGGGTAGGAGTAAAAAATGGTTGGCCAAAGTAAATTAACTTGAGTGGGATGAGAGTGTTGTGCAGTCTATGATAGGTGCAGAAAAGTCTCTTCTCCCTCATTGCGCTATTCTTTTTTTTTATTTAAGTTACCGTACAATTTTCATGCCAAAGCAAAAATGCCAAATACTAATAAAACCAAGTGTCTTAGTTTTTTTTCTCTTGTTGCTGAGAAACGTCCCCTGTACCACTGCACCATTCTCAATGGTAAGTCAGGGAGGCTTCTGAGCCTTTGTTACTTTGCCATATGGAATTCCTGCATTTCCCAGACTGAGAAGTCTCCTTACTGCTTCATAGAACTATTTGCCTAAGCAGAGGAGTGTGGTGGAATCTATAGAGTAACTGGGGAAGTAATTTGAGGATAATGTCAAGGATTAGTTTTGGAGAGAGATTGGGAAGTAGATACTGACGGGATCCTGGACTTTCATAGCTTGGCCTGTGGATTTTTTTAACTCATGTTTCTCTCTTGCCAATAATTTGTGGTCACTTTATTCTACAAAGTAAGATTCTTATGTACAGAAGGAATACTACCTTTTTCGCCTGTAGAAGCTGCCCGTGAAAGGAGCAAGGGTGAAAAGGGAACTCATACATTTGCAGAGTGAAGGGACCAGAGCTGTGCATATCACAGCTGTATTAGGAATGGTTGTCAGGCATGGATTTTCCAGAACTGTGCTTGGCAACTGTTTCCTTGTGTGTTGGTAGTAGGCATGGACTTGGCAGGATTAGATGATTCAGCATGGACATAAATGTTCTCCCTCATTTCCTAAATATCCCAAAGGCTCTTTCAAATAGCTGGCTGGTAAACGAGGTATTAGATAATAATTCTGGATTTTAGAGTGGGCAGCAACTGAGAGAACCAGGATATATACTCCAACAAACAATTACTGGATTTTTTCTGGTGGTGACACCAGTGTTGGGCATTGGAGATGCTGGAATTATGAATGAGATCTGGTTTTTGCCCTTGATTGTTTACATCTCGCAAAGGAAAGATGCATGCAACCAATTATGACACTGCAGTACGTGCTAGAACTGAGGTGCATAAAGTACTGTAGAAACAAGAAAAGGGAAGAATAGCTCTGCAGGGTTCGCTGGGAGGTTTTGTTTTGTTTTTTTGGTGAGACTGGGCCTCCTGCGCATGCATACTAGGTGAGCACTCTACCGCGGAGCTACACCCCCAACTCCACTGGGAGATTTGACAAAGGAGGCAACACTTGAGGAAATTTAGGTATGAATAAGCTTTAGCCAGATGAAGGGAGGTGGGGAAGGGAGAGGAGGCGTACGTAGCCCATCTGAAGGCTTGAAAATGTGAGTGAATGGAGGTGTCTAGTGAATCTAAGTAGTTGGGTGTGACTAAAGGGCTAGAGTTTTGGTGGGAGCACACGATGTGAAAAACCAGGGTCCAGCTTTTAAAGATTCTTTCATGGTCCGAAAGAATGGGCTGTGATTCTTTTTATGGCTTGCGGGGAAGTCACTGAAAGTTGAGAAAAAGCGACAACTAGTAAGCCACAACTAGTAAGGTTGTAAAAAGTGATTGGGATACTTACATTGCTGTCCAGGGCACCCTCTTTCTGTAATGAAGTACTTTTGAAGTTTAGTAATTGGATGATTGGTCGGTAAATATGCTAACAGGAGAAAATATGTTTTGAGGAATATTTCATCCAGCCCCAGGGTTTTCCTTTCTGTGGACAGAGGTCCTTATGAATAATAGAGGGACTAAGAAGGAGTATTCAGAGATGAAGAACCAAGACGTAATTTCATTCCTAGAACAGAGATACTGTACTGAAGAAGCAACCACATAGGGCCTTTGTGTTTTAGGTTTTAGAGTTGGGGTTTAAAAACAAGCACAACTGGATTCATAGTGGTTGGTTAAGCAGACAGAGAAATACATACACTGGTTCAGAGAGAATTATTTTCTGCTTTTATAAAACGTTAAAAGACTAAAGAGTCCTCGTGTGCTGGAGTAGACTACGAATAAAAGAGAACATTCACATTTCAACATTGGTAACACTGACTGTCTGGTACTTAAAATCTTGAGTTATCTCTGGGTGCCACAGGTTATATGGAACTAGTTAGGACTATCTTTGTTTAGCGTATCACAGAAAAAAACTCATAGAACTTACCGTACATAGAGGAGTGAAGGGTCTGCACTCTACATAAAAAAGAGGTTGTAAAAGGTCTACACTCTACGTATTAATGTACATAACTTTAAATATACAACTTTTTTTTGAGATAAGTCGTGGCTGTGTTGCCTAGGCTGACCTCACACTTGTGAGCTCAAGTGATCCTCCTACCTCAGTCTCTGGCATAGCTGGGCCTATAGTCATGTGCCACCACTCTTAATATGGACAACTCACAAGGAAGTTTGGTATACTATAGTAAGAAGGCTACTAAACCTAGACTTAGATTTCTTCATTCTTGCGCTTCAGTGCTGGTTCTGCACTTGTACCATGTGACTTTAGAAAGAATCACCTCTCTGATCTTCATGGTTTTTATCTGTTAATATAGTGCGGATAATACTTCTTTGGTTATATGAGAATACAAATGAATATGAGTGTTTTAACACTTTCATGTATATAATACTTTATATTTTACAAAGCCATTTTGTATCCATTATTTTATTTGTTTTATTTCTTGTAAAGATGGTTTTATACAGATGGTTGAATTTAGGCCTAGAGACTTAACATTGTCATTTAGGACCTCGCTCCAGACTTCTAGATGTAGATTTTATATTGTATCACAGTGGTAAGTTTTAAAATTAGACCA